CCGCAAGACAGGCACTCCGCCAGAAACCCTAAACCCTAAACCCTAAACCCTAAACCCTGCTAGGCACTTCGTTCATCTTGCGATGTGGAAGCAAAGCTTGTCCAGCTCACCGACCCAGCACTCCGTTTCAATCACATGTTGCTGCACTTTGTTTCTTGCTTTGCTTTCCAATCTACGGTTTAGGATGTCTTGGTTTAGGCTAGACAGTCTAGGTTTCGACTAACTGGGATCCTGATTCCCAAACCCTGAACCCTAACACCCTCAAACCCAAAACCGAATCTTGATGCCGACAATATTTCGAGGAATCAACTGGAAGTATGCCTACACTCCCTGCTACGGCTTGCTCTCCGCTGGGTATGATGCCGATTGCCCAGGCATTTTGATGGCTCTGTACTGTTTCGCTCAGAGAATCCCCCAGGATTCGGCACCTCTCATGATAGGACGATCCCGCGATTTTGTGGATCGGGTCTACGGACAGTGTCGCCTGGCAACTGCCTTCGCGCAGATGGAGGCCAACCTCAAGGTCGTCTTCCCTGCAGGCATCGTCGAGTGGGACGGAACGAGAAGCGCGGGGTCCAAAGACAAGTCCAAGAAGCAGGTGACCCATGTCGGCCGGTTCCTCATCGGCTGCCATCGGAGCACCGACCACAAGGTCTTTCTGCCTTTGCCGAACAGAACCACGAAGCTGGGTGCACCAGGCCCGCCTGCTTGCAGAGCCTGCTTCAGTCGACTTCTCATGCCGCTCTGAAATGCTTTTATTGTCACTGCAGCTAGTTTCGGTTCAAAGATTCCTTGCAATAGCAACATGTCATGTCCAGTGGATGACGATTTTGTCCTGGGTCTGGCGGCTGCACTCGCAGCAGCTTTAGACCTGGCCTTCCCGCACGTGGATGCTCGCCGACGTTGGAAAACGGGGTTCCTTTCGCACTCCGATGCTACTTGGGGCCAGACCAAAGCCAGGCCGATCTCCATGTCTTGACACTGGCTGCTTCAGCCCTGGCTTCCTTGGACGCAAGTGATGACATCATCACTGTCATGCCTGTCGAGTTTGCGCGCTTGGAGTTTGCAGCGGACCATGTTTCCTTTCGGCAGCAGGTGCGGAAATGGGCGGGCCATCAGTGGAGATGCTGCCTGGGAGCCTTGTGTGCGGACATCCGCAAGGTTCTGTTGGAAACGCAGCGTCGACAAGCACTCTTCGAGCACACCGTTGCCTTGCGACAACTTTTTCTGGCATGGTCCAGAATCCTGGAAGACATATCTCTCCTGGGCACCGGCCTTTTGCTCTCGCCAAACACTGTCGAAGACAGTGTCTAAGACGCTTGCAGACCGCCACGAAAAAGAGCTCTGAAGCTGCTCTCTTGGCATCGTTGTTTGGGCTTCCTGCCGTTTCATTCGAGACCTAAACGCTGGAGCTCCCTGCCTAAACCCTCAACCTTTCCAACCCGAAAACACACCTCGAACCACCTCCACAAACCCGTCAACCTTGACAGGCCCGCCAGAGAGCGCCGAAGAGGTCAAGAACTTGATCGCGGCGAAAGTCTCGAACAAGCAACACGTGATTGGCAGTGATGCAGGCAAAGGTTTGGCCAAGGCTTACAAAGAGCTCGGTCTCTCCGCTGCTACAGCAGCGCACAGCCGCAACCACTTTACTCCAACCACGAAGTTGGGCACCGCAAAGCTTGGAAAGACAGCTTTGAAATTCCTCGGTAGCAAAGCCAGGGCTAAGATCTCCTCTCGGTCCGTGACCCTTGT